AATGAGTACTTCCAGAGAAGCTCTCAAATAGTGAAACTTATTTATGTCATCTATGTCGTCGTAAGAGTAAAACATAAAAAAAGGAAAAGGAAAAGGAACGTTAAAAAAGGATAAAATTAGTTTCCATTTAATCATGCCGTAATATGCTTGAAACTTTAATGAATTTGATTCTATTTAAAGGATACTTAGCCTGCCCCCAGCAATGGTGATATAAATAGGCCGGTGATACCGTAATTTATAATAAGGAGAGTAGAGGACGAATATTTAAAAGAAAATAGGTATAATCTACATTCATATATTATTGTATTCAAAATCACAAGTATAGGTTCATATTTATATATTTAAATATTGATTTTTTTTATTACCTATTCTTAACATGTTTTATGAAACTTTTTTTTTGGTCATGCATTTAATTGCACTTCGCAATTTTTTAAACATTCTTGCTGACATGACTAGTAGGCCAGAGTGGTAGAGCTGCAAGCGTGAAGCAGGCAATATGAGTTAACGATCTCGCATAGTGCATTTGGAAGTTATTTCCTCTCGCCTATTAAAGAAAACTGGATATTTCTTTACAAATTTCTAAACCTGATAAAATTAAAGTTTTGTGCTTTGCAAAATATGGTTTTGTACATTAAAAATTATGCGTATTAGTTACTTTTATTGAGTAAACAGAGAGCTGGAGTCGGTGCTATTTCCCCACACAATTTTAATCACGCCATAACTAAGCGATTTTTATACGTAAGCGTAGTAGGTCGTAAGTGCTGTTTGTACGTCGGTGGTTTTCTTAATTTATCGAACCGCATATGTAAAGCTAGGAAGCATAGATTTAAGCTTCCCGATATTTGATTTCCAGTTTATATGAGAATCTAAGTGTACGCCTTGTAAAGAAACTTCGTTAACAGTTTTGATTTTCTTGTTTTTATATGTGTAATTTATATTACTCGTAATATTCCACGCTGACTATTAAACTTTAATAAAAAGCTGTAAATACGTCATATATCCTAAAACTCGGAGCGTCTGATTAAATACCTTTTATAGATCTAACAGAAAATGATTAATATCCATATGCTACATCGTGAGAAATCTAGTTATGACCAACACATTCAATACACACAATATAATAAAAAATACACTTGTATCGAGTTCTCACAGTGGCGTCATTAGGCCAGTTCGCATTTCAAAAGACATGTTGAGCCCATGTGTGCCAAACCTTTCACGGAGGACATTGTATCCACATTGTCCATATTGTGCCCAAATCACAATTTACCCGAACAACTGTCAAAAGACTAACCCGACTTTTGCACTTCATCAAATATAAATTTATCTCGAAATAACGCTACGCCAGGTACCTTTTGTATCTGTTACAATAGGTTAAAAAAAACCTCTGGACCTTTTAAGAGTTTTTCTTTTGTATTGTCAATGTGTAAACGGAGAACGAAATTATTGTTTTTAACTAAGTTTTTATGTCACGTTTTCGAGTGGTTTATGCATGGAGCTTTTTTTTTGTGGAAGACCGTGTTTCTGTATTACAATACAATAGGAATACCATGAAACATTTTTATTATTTTAAATAATCATATGGAATTCAATAACTATTTTAGGTATCTGGAAAAGTATTCAATGAAAATAAAACAACTTAAAACTAGTTGAAAAGTGAAATTATTACTTGTTCAAATTTACTGTAGAAGTGTCTGTTTGAAAGACAAATTTATTTAAAAAAATATTTTTTTGTTTGGCATCGTGGCCTATGTACGAGATTTACTACCAACTTCATCATCGGAATAACTTCTCTTAGTTATTTACAGACTTAAAAACATAGTTTGACAGGATTAAATTATTCTAATTTGTGCAACAAAATTACGATGATTTTTTGCATTTTTTGGTGCGAAAAAACATAGTTTGACAGGATTAAATTATTCTAATTTGTGCAACAAAATTACGATGATTTTTTGCATTTTTTGGTGCGAAAATCTCATAAACCGTAGGTAGCACCAAATTGTCCTAACAATACACTTGACGTCTACCTACTGTTCAATTACACAAACTTTCCTCACTTCATTTGGAAGCACGGTGCATAAACTAAAATCCATATTGTGTGGACTGGCTTTTAGGGGTATATTTCTTCCAAATTTGAAAGGAGCCAAATTCTAGACCCGGTACAGAAGCAAACTAAGGGTTAGTTTGCTTCTGTACGAAAAAACTAAAATAAAAATGAATATACTTCAAAAATCTTTAATAGGTCAAAAAAGATTTTATATAGACATCAATAAATCAACACAAAAGTTCCGCATTTGTTAATTGCTTTTGGGGTTGTACTCCCTATTATCAACCTAATTGCGTTCTGTCGTCCATCCTGCAACAGAATTATAAGTAGGTATAACCCAATGAGTTTAATAACTAGAGAAGCAATCCCATACAACAGACGCGCCAAAAAGCGTAGCACTTTTTCGAAATCAGGACGTAGCTTTGCAAATTATATTTATACTATATAATATAAATAGATTTATTATATTTGTCTCCCTCATATCTACGATTAAACTTTAAATTAAACAAAGACAGAATATGTGCGAACGACAGAATGAACGGAAAAATGGGTAATTGATATTGTATTGCCAGGTGTCGAAAATTTCACCCATTGTGATGAATGAATGAATGAACGAGTAGTGTAGATATATGTATAAAATCAATTAGTAAAATACTGTAACTTTGAAAATTTCTTTGCAAAAACTATGAAAAAAAAAAACAATTACGAAATTAAGCTCTGTGCATATCCCTTTGTTTTTCGATAAAGTTAGTGGTTAAGACAAAAACATTTGTTAAAGTTCATAAAACATCAAACAAACAATTTTACGTATTTTCAAAAGTTGTATCTCGACAACTAACGAATTATTCCACGCATTGAAAAAAATTAAACTACATTAACATCTGTGTGCATGAATAAAAAAATTATCAACAGAATTAGCGCAGTTACCTATACTTAAGCTGAGCTATATGATTAATTATAAAAAGATATTTAGATAAATTATAGCCACGTTAATTAAAAAGAAAAGGTTCCCATATACTTGGGAAAATTGAAAGTGAATAGCAGTGGCAACACTGACGGCAAAATGTCGAAATTTTATTTGAAAAAAAATAAATATTTTTATTTTATAACCTAGCTTTAATTTTGTATTTATTGCCAAAAATGTTAATGACTTAAGTGTGAAACTTAATATTATTTCGTATTATGTGTATTTGTGAAAGAGAATCGAATTTTATCTACTGTATTTCTTTGTTTTTACGGAGCATTTTTTTGTACTTTCTTGGCGGGAGTTGAATGAGTAATGAAGTGCAAAACGAAAAAACTAAGACAAACGTCTTAGTTTTAGTAGCTTCAGATTTTTGGTATGTATTGCGTATCTAGACATATCGCTCGCTTAGAAATAAAAAGATGTAACTCAAAATTAGCAAGTTGTGGGAAATGGCGTTTAAAGTTTTATACTTTTACTTTACCGCCTTTGATACTAAATAAAAAATAATGTAATTTGCTATTGTCTATTTGAACTACCAATACTATTAATATAAATACTAGAGATTTTAATATTATTAACAAAATAGTGTTTTAATTTAACCACGTTTAATAATTTTGTCGCCAAAAATGAATCTTTGAGTTAATTCTATTTATGTGAAAAAGAAACTGACAATTAGTAAAAATATTAAGTATCAAGTCATAATACTTCGTTTTTATTTTAAATTGTAAGTAGTGATTTCGAGAAGATTTGACATTAAATCCTTTTAAAATTATGCAAAAAGAAAATGTGAAAAACTTGTACTAAATGCGTCATTTTTAAAGAAAAAAAAAATGATTTCATTTGTTTTTTTTTTTAATAAAACAAAATTTGTTCAATAACCAAACAGTTTTAATTATGTAAATTTATAATAAACTAAATAACAATCATTATTAGGCATTACTATAAAAATAAACTAACTTCTTATTAAAAATAGTCTTCCAAAAGCATCAAAACTTTTTAATTATTAGGAACGATAAATCAGTCTTTGTAATTATCTCTTATAGAAACAAACTAAATGTTACAATGACAACATATAGCAAACTTACACTTTATCCTAAATGTTAAGTAGTCTTTATAGTATAGTATAATTATCAAAGGTAATAAGCATACCAAACTAAAATCATTATTACTCTTTAATTTCGGTACTATAATTTTCAAAACATTAAATTATGGAATTGTAAAAAATGGCATAAAAGGAAGGAATCAACTTCTTCGTTATCAATTCTCTTAAATCTTTTTTTTTATTAGCACTCAGTTCTTGTTTTTCTGTATAAGCTTTACTTAAAGAAATTTCTGCTATGTTAAGCATTTTCTTCCTTTTATTCCTAACATCAACTCTCTTAAAAGTACTATCCTTGTATGACGTTTTATAATAAAAGCATAACGGTTCCGATTTTATCATTTTTAAAAGCTTAATATCATTCCAATTAACAGTATTTCCATCTTCATCAACATTATAATTATATCCCCATTCTTCTTGGAGAGCTTTTATGTCCACAAATGAGTCAAACGTCAATTCATGTACGTTTATCGGTGGATTGCTCTTTTTTGCATTTTTAATTAATGTGACATATTGATCTGGACTGTAAATTGGACCTGATTTTAAGTTTTTCTTGACTTCTCTTTCAATTAAGCTATGTACGCTGTCCGCTTCGTTTTGGGTGTGCCCTCTTATTAAAAACTTATGTGTTATGCTGGTTATATTATTTAAATTAGTTACAGCGTACATATATAAGGTAGCTATAAATTTATTTTTATTCTGCCCACAACAGTTATCCGAGTAAAATGTAATTTGTTTAAGGTCTACATCTTCGGCAGACACATTTTTTAAATATTCCCATACGGAAGAGCCTATTTCAATTGCTCCTCGCTTAGCATCTACTTCAGTCCAAAAGTAACAATGTACATTTTCGTAAGCTTTCTTTCCTCCACATGTCAATTCAGTAACAGTCAAAGTAATACCGCTTCTAAATCGTAAACTGCAACTTTGTTATCTTTTGTTATGTTTTGGCGGTCAACTTGTTTTTCCAAACGACTTAAAGTTTTTTCTTCTAAATGCTTCTGATATTGATTTTCCAAATCTTTTTTCTGGTCATCGTTCGAATTAGTATATGCGACACACAGATCACATTGATCTTTCTTTGGCTGATGAAAACCTAAATTAAATTCACCAGTAAAAATTTTATAATATGCCATGTAATTACCGACGTCTTTGTTATTGATCATTTGCTGCGAAGCAAAATCAGTATATAAATCTTTTATTGTTTTATCACCACCTATGTACTCTTTTGAAGTTGAGGATCTTACATAATGTGAAGATATTTTCGGGATCATAGTAATATGATTCCTAATATCATTTAGTAATTCTGGATCAAGCTTTTTATGGTTTTGGTGCTTACCTCGCAGCTCATTCATAGCAAAACCTTCATTCATTTTAGATTGTACAGTGTAAACCATTCGTTCAGAAACTGACAGCGTATTTTTAAAGAAAGTCTTACACACTTTAATTCTCTGGTCATCAATTGTGAAATAGAAAGCTTTGTTCGGACGCCTAGGATGTTCAGCATTAGTATATTTGTACTTTGGTGTTACATCTACCATACATGTTCGGATATAAGCCCTCTGTGCAACTAAGCTACCTAAATCCCAAAAGCTAGAAAAGATTTTGTATCTATTTTCTGAAGATATATTTTCTGAACATTTTAACTTACATTTTTCTGTACACGTATCTTTTAAAATGCGTTCTGGAATTACTTTACGAGATTTTGACATTGAAACATAGGATTCGCCTCTATTTCTGAGCCGTTTTGCTTTAATTTGCTGCCATTTGTAAATATTTTTAGACCGCTTTCGGCCTCTATAGCTATTTTCTTCTATACTAGTACTAGAATCCGAAGAATAAGGAGTTGGTTCCCCAAATAGAAATTTTTTTCGTTTGGCAGGCCTATCAAATATTGTATTATAATCCACAGTTGGATCATCATCACTGATATCAACATCGCTTTGATCAGTATAAATAGGAGAAATATAATTATTCACATTGTTCTTACTTCTGCATTGCCTTTGCTGTTTGTCATTATTCTTTATCAAACTGGAGCAAGATGGTATATTCTCCTCACTGCTTGGCTTAGGTTCTTGTACAATAGTATTTTTTTCCTGTGATATAGTCTCCTCACTTCTTGGCCGAAGTTCTTGTAAATTAGCGTTTTTCTCTTGTGGTATATTATCCTCATTGCTTGGCTCAAGTTCTTGTACACAAGTGTCTTTATCCTGTGGCATATTATTGCTGGATGACGAGTTCGATGACGATGACGATGAAGAACTCGTTGAAGATGAAGAACTCGCTGAAGAAGAATTAGATGTCGATGAACTAGATGATGACGACCTAAAAGAGACCGAATCCTTGGAAGACCGTGAGGATGGACGTCTAGAATGCATGACTGCTAAGTTTTCTGAGGCATTCTCTGGTTTTTCATTATCTTCTATATTTTCACTTACAGTCGAATCGCTTCTATAGTCAAATACAAGACTAATAGGTCGTGTTTCAGTGTGTAATAATTCTTCTATCGGTGCTGTGCTTTCTTCTTCTGTGACTGCAATGGACGGTGGGACCATATTTTCCTGGTTTTCTTCTTCTATTTCTAGATTGTTTTTAATCTGAAAGTATTACTTATATTAAAAGTAAAAAGTACATTATGTTTTAAAATAAAGTGTTTTCAATATATTACAAAAAAAGAAACCTAATACCACTGTATAATTTATATTCTTATTAAAAAAAGAAATGCTCCGCTTTCCTAGCATAGTTTGTATCATTTATATAGGACGATGACGTTTTTTTGCGCTGAAAATAATAGTTTTTAATACTCCGGGATAATACACTATATATATGTATTTGTAGTAAATTTATATAACTTGGTTCAGTACATTTTATGTTTATGCAATATAAATAAAAATATGTAAGTATATACTTTTAAATATTATATCAATATATTATATATTATAGATATATAAACAAAAATCCGAAATATTTATAAATACATTAAGTATGTAGGTATTTACCTCTTCATAGTTTTCCTTATTGGTATTATAGATTTTATTTTCTGCTTGAGGAATCAAGTCTAGTATTTTCTTGGCCCTCCAAGACGTCATTCTTAAAAGATTTAAAAACCAATAAAATAGGTTAACATTTACGAAATTTAACAAGAAAATGAATTAACCCTAAACAAATTTTATTTATAACCATAATCTAAAATAATAAAATGAAGCAAACCAAAATAGTTTTCATAAACATTAAAATATTTTATATGACAGTGAAGCTTAGCTAGTTGCTTCAGTGACCAGGCTATATTTTTTTATACAAAATCGAATTATTACACTTTCGCACTATGGTCTATAAATAACTTTTAAAACAAAACAGAATTAACTCCAAATCCTCACAATATTTTATAATTTGTTTCCGAATAAACCGAGGTAACTAAAACATCATGCTTTTTTGTTTTTAATATCGAAAATGTTTAATAGTCACCTTTTAAAACAAAACAGAATTATTCCTTAATTATTCTAATTTCGCCAAACGACAGCACAAACTTCTTCAATCACTGCCGGTGCATGACTGAATTACACACTTTTTTAGAATCAACTTGTTTATTCCTGTCAATCGAAAAGAGATCGATGACAGTGCATCTCGTTCTAAATAGTTTGATTTTATACCGCTGTCGATGTCTGCCGATTCTGTACTTCTAAATGGTGCGTTTTATCAGAAAAACTCAAAATCAACGATTTTTTACTTCCATCTTTTTTTTATTAAACAGGCGATATTAATATCATTGGTATAACCGATTTAGCTAAATTCTGGACAGGCTAACAGGCTTGGATAGTATGAAAAATAAATATTACAATAATTACTCACAACATTTTAAATCTTACACGGTTAACGGCTTAAGATGGTGTCCTAATTATACGTATAAAAAAGTATGCAAAAAAATGAAAATAAAGAAATTACTTCATTATAAATCTAATATGCCACCATGAAGACATGACACCAGACATGAAGAAGGACGCATAGTTATCTGACACTCACGTAATAACTTTAATTAAAAAAAATGTTTTTTTTTTCTATAAATACCTACGCACTTTTATTATGGCCCTCGCCCTTCACACAAAAGTAATAAAGTCCATAAATAACAAAAATAAAAAAAAATAAGTCACTTCTTTTTTGACTACTAGCACGTTATATATTACCCGATTTATCAAATTCGAAATAAAAATACTTTTATAAATTTAATTAATATTGAAAAATGTTAAAAAAATTAGTGTAATCTATATTTTTAGCGTTAAATTGTCATACAATTAAACAATCTTGCAATGGTCGTTACCGCTATCTAGTGAGAGACTAGTATATTAAAAACTATAACGCACGACCAATGGTGTGGTTAGTGCTACCATTTGCCGTACACCTACCGTACTGCTAGTAATATGGCAATGGTGTACTCAAACTCTACAAGATGGCGCTGATATATTTATTTTCGGTCTATTATGAAATATAATAAACAGGAACAATTTGTTTGTTTGTTTGCAACAAATAGGCTTCGAAACTACTTGACTAATTCTAAAACCTCTTTCACCTACGGAAAGCTACATCAAATGTGGTGACCATAGGCTAGTCTTATTTTATCCCGAAAAAAAGCAAAACGAAAAAGGGATGAAAATGGGAGAGAAAGTCTGTATAGGGAATTAAACCGTTACCATTGTTTACTATTAAATTTGTCATAATAACGTATAACAACAAAGAAAAGATTATGTGGTGCCTCCCGAGCGGGTTGTCTTTTATTTTTCTGATCAGGTTTTAAATATATCCGTGTCATGGTATGCATTAATAACCAAATAAACAGTTAAAAAACTGAAACTACCTTAATCTTAGATCCCTATTGATTACAGTAGTGTATATAATCTAAGCTTAAATAAAGTCGTGTCAAAAGTAAAGATAAATATAAAGATATCTAAACTTCTTGGTCGTTTCATATACTTTATTCTTTGCCTAAAGTTGTCATCTATATTTTATTTACTCTTTGGTGTTTATTTTCTCTTTTGCTTCAAAAAATTAGCAAGTGCAATAATTTGAAAATCAAAATTCTGAAATCTGTTTAGAAATTATTACTGCAATATTTAGTATATACAATTTATTACTGATAAAATATTAAAGATTACTATAAGTAATGTCACAAATATTCCACAAGAGTTGTTATACAGCACGTAGTTCTGGCTATAAATATCGTACACTATCCACTAACACTGGAGAAAAAAAGCGGCGAGATAGCAGAGAAGACTCTACATTCGACAGAAAATTTAAGGAACTACAAAATGAAATAGCTTGCAGAATAGACAAGCAAGTAAAACACACTCAAAAAGCGCGCGGAATGATTTTAGAAAAGTTTGAGAAGATCGACTCCAAAATCAATTTGATGATGGAGTTAAAAGACACAGTGACCATTTTAAGAAAGAATATTAATACAGCCGAGGATGCCTTAAGTGATATTGTTCAGAAAATTGAGAGGTTAGACGCAAATACCGGCAGCGATGCTTACACGCTACACTCACGGAAAAGCTCGTTTAGATCGCAAGCTCCTATTCTCGAAAAAGATGAATTTTTCTTATAGTTAGGTACTCAAAATTATATTCAAGTTATTTTATTTGATATTTTTTTAACTATGTGGATACTTAAATTAAATAAATAATCAAAGTGTGGATATTTGATTGATTAATTCGTTTGCAGTCTTTGGTAAGTTACAATGTTGTTCCGATACCGTGTCGATATCGTTCCGATATTCAAAAGATGATTGTTGCGTTGTTATTATGTATATTTTCAATTATAAAATTAACAAGAGCACTTTACTCAGTAGTTGAGCATGATAATGTTATTTAATATTTTATTTTTATAAGTATAAAGAGGAGAATGAGTTATACTAGTTGGTTATTTAATCCAGTTGGTATATTTTTAGTTACTTATTACATGACCCGGTGTTCTCCGTACCACTTCTTGCCGTTTGAATTCCCTGGACTACGACAAACATTTCAAACATAAAATTAGCTAAATCAACCCAGCCGTTCTTTAGTTTTAGCGAGACTAACGAACAGCAGTTGATATGGAAGACTAATGAAACTGCCCTGTATGATGAAGAAAGATTAATGAAAATTCGGTAGTTTTTGAGTTTATCGTATTCAAATAGTTATATTGTATAAAGACTCAGTTGAGGTCGGATCAGAGCAATTCTGTTCTATCCTACTAGTCTATACTAACTTTGTTTGTTTGTAAGAGGCAATCTTCGGAAATACTAAACACATTATGAAAATCTTTCTATTCTTGAAAGTATGACAAAAATCATATCTGGGTCTGAAATGTGACGTTATTTATAGTAAAAAAACCAAACACGAAATTAATTGGAACATTTTATTATATTTTTTCTCGAGTTATTAAAGAATAACAGCTCAGAGCTGAACACATCAATTACAATATTGACATTAACATTACCTTTTATTTATAACATAACAGACAAAAGTTTTTGTAACTATACTTAATGGTAATTACATACGTATATTTTTACGGTTTTTAGTCGTTTACAACATCACAAACAAGTTTTAGAATCGAGAATGAAAAAATTGAGCTAAGCAAATATCTAAAGATTGTGGAATTTGTTTAATCGAAAAATTATTACTTAAAAGCTATTAATTATTTACTGTAAAAACAGACGACACTTATTTTAGGTATATACCTATTCAAGTATATGGCACAGTTCAAAAATATGTAAATGACAGTGATGAAGTCCAAGGTATACTTAACACTCTTGAGATTGGAATGAAAAAAGTCAAAATCAATGATAAAAGGGTCATTCAAAAAACCCTAAAACTAATTATGTTTTTAGAAAATCAATTTGTAGATGCAATAAATATGTACTTATAATACGACTAGGGAGGGTAATAATGGAAGTATTAACTAAATTGTATAATTATAATTAAAAATAACAATTAGTTTCACTTACGGTTAATGTAAAAAACAGTAAATGCAACGAATATACCCTAAAAATAAAACTATATAGGTAAACAATATTTGTGCACCAATATTTTTCAATTCGTTTTAAAGAAATTATTTCTAAATACAAATTGTCGAACAATTTGATATGTGATTATCTAAGAAAACGTATTAGAATATAAAGTAATAAAATTCAGATCAATTAAACATAGATATCACAACATTTAAGATACATAAAAGTGTCTACTACACAAATTACATGTACCTAAGTAATTTAACTATAAAGCAGCAGCTGAGCTGCACCTCGATAATATTTCAGCTATTAACTCCGAACAACAGATTCAATCAATCAACTTTTAGCCAATAACTTTAAAAGAAACAACTTCAAGCTCTTCAAATATGAGACATAATTATAAATTTTTGCTACTAAGCTAATTAACAAAAATAAAATAAAAGTATAAGAAGTAAGTAAACATATATTTCAAGTTATCGAATGAGTACAGTATATCATTCTACCTTTTATCAATTCGTAAAAAATACAATAGAAATCATTTTTCCAATAGCTTTATTTTTTTGCTATAACTTTCCCTAAATTTCTCACCTAATACCATCTTCATTGATCATAAGAATAGTTTTATATTATTTGTTACAAAACACTATGAAGAAAATATTATATCAAATAGCAACCGTTTCTTTTCCTGTTGGCTATTCAATAATCAATTTATTTTTGTTCGGCATGGTTGTTCTGCTTTAGTCGTTTTTTTCTGCTGCAAAATCAACATGATTTTCTATTCACAGATAAAAGGAAGTACCATCTCATGTGTTATTTACACATAAGACGTGGGTGCCCTATCTCAGTCGAATAAACAAATGAAAGCTCGCAACAGACCGTCCCAGAAACAAGCGCAACAACCTTGTTTCTTGTTCTTGTCATCAGGATTAAAGCTAGGTTGTTTCGGTCGTTTGGGCCGCCGCGCGCACAATTTGCTTGGCTGCGTGTCTTCAGGAGCAGGTTCTGACCGTGAACTCAAGTGTACCGGCAGCGCAGCCGGCTCAGTAGGCCGCGGTCGCGCCCAGCGACGCAGCAGGCCCTCTTGCTCTGCACCCACCGGCACCGGTGCTGATAATTTTCTTGCCCTCGCCACGACTAAAGCGCGTTCCATAGGCTCTAACAATTCCAAACCTAAAGCACGATCCAACTCTTCTCCAGAGAGTAACAAGTATCTTGGACAGTAAGCCAACTCTCCTAAGGCTGCCCTTTTATTAGCAGACGTCAATTCCCTTTTAGTGCGCTTGCAGGCAGCCGTTGCCCATCTGGATAGTGCTTCTGCTAACACGAGTTCATTGGATACTCGAAGAGTGTCGCGTTTTACTATGAGCGCAAGATCCTCGTAAGTGAGCTCCTCGAGTCTTTCATCGGTCAAGGCGGCATCAGCATTTTCGTCTAATACAAGTAAAGCATTATGAGCTAGAGAGTCACACCACCGGGAACATTGCGCTAAGGACCGTGCAGCAGCATCGTCAGAAAGAGCCGGAAGAGGTGGTGCCGATGCAGCGCCAGGAAGTCTTGCACACAAAAAACGCAAATCACGTAAAATCTCTAAAGCGACGCCTGCATCCAACATCTCATCGAGACGCCGAGCACATCGCTCTGCCAGTGGTGCGCACAGGAATTTGTACGCAGCATCGAGAGCACACCGTGCCGTAGCTACTGAATTCAGCTGCGTGGGCTCACAGTAATGATAACGAAGGAGTTGTTCGAAGCCTCGACGATCAACATAGTCGACGACTATTACATCAGTCTTGGCAGAAAGAAGTGCGGCGAAAACAGGACTAGTGGCGGCGAGCACTCGTCGATGGCCGGGGTAGCGCCAGGTATCGCCGTTAATACCGGCAACAAATACAATATCGCTCTGCTTCTCATCATCGTAGAGGCGAGCATTCTCGTCGAGCTCGAGCCCATGGTATTCAACAGCGCCACCGCCGCCCAACTCGCTGTTTCGACCGGATTCGATCTCCTCTTCGGAGTTGGTTCGTGCGGGATTCGTCACCACCGTCATTGTGTATAAGTTTGGATACTGCCTGGAATAAATAAAAAAAAATGCTTAAACACTGTGCCAAAAATAAATATCTAGATGTATCCGCAAAGTTGAATATCACTTACTACGAATGAGTAAGTGAAGAAAGAATATGGCATTAATTGAAATATCATATTAGTTACATTAGCTATTTTAGTAGAATTGAATGATCAAATTGATTGTTTATATATTATGGAGCATTATATTGAATATAAAATTGAATAAATTAAAACATAAAGCATAATCTTTAATATTTATGAGAAAGTTAATTTAGAAATGTTGCCAGTAAAACTTAAAAAAATATGACAAATCACTTCCGTGAAATTCATAAGCTTAGATAAAGCAACGTAAGTCAATTCGGCTAGTTTAAACTTAAGAGGGTATATATTCAAAGGTTACCTAATACATAAATATTACTGCATTGCTTCCTGTGTATATACTGAGAAGTAGATGCTAAAAAGTCTAATTAACTGTTAACTCACCTATTATACCATTTGTGAGTATATAAACACCATATAAAGAATCATTATTGCCTTGGTTTGCATTAGGAATCATAGGAGGTGCTAAATGAAATATCAAGGCAATTGTTGTTTATACAATGCGCATGTTTAATATATTTTTTATGTAAATGTAGGTAACTTGCGCCAGGATTATTGAACATAATATTATTTTCTCAAATGTTTAACTATATTTTAACCGATTTTTAATTACAATCTTATTTTTTACTTGACTTAAAGGCATTTTATTTTTACATAATGTTGTCAACGCAGCCATAGAGTAAGTAAAGTAACTATATCTCTATGCCAGACTCTGTATATGATATACATATATTTTAGTAAGGGTAAAGCTAAACTTCTTGTTTTATATATATATTATTATTATTATATATTTTTTAGTGTTTAAATTGTTCTCGAGCAAAATTATTTTTTGCTACAAGTGACTTTTTGCTTATATTTAGGCGGATTTACGCCCAGTTACAAAAATGGCTATTAAAGTTTTCATTAATTTAAAACGACATTACCGATTCAAATTTTTAAATTCAGCACCTCAATGGACGTTTGAGCAACTGACCATTGTTTTACTTAATATTAGGTCTTCTCCTAAATTTTGTTGCATTTATCGTAATTATTTTGATTGTGAAAAATTATTAAGAAAACAACACGGCTACTACATATTTAAAAGTAAATAAATTTCATTCTTAATCTTTATTTAAATATTAACATCAACACCATATTTTCTTAGGATTTCCACGAAAACTGAATATGAAAATCAATGAAGGGGCAGAATGGCTAATTTCAACAACAGCAGGAAAGTAGAGCGGTAGCGCGAAACGTGCGTCAACACACCGCGATGCGTCATGCGCCGGCGCATTCCCCGAGAATAAACAAAAATACACGAGCCAGAAACACTCGCCCTTCTTCATAATAATCTCTTAACTGAATTCAATTTAAGCTGATAAAACAAAATCAGATCATGTACAATAAGATTTCTAACTTTACAATTATTACTGAAACTGCAATTTGTCTGCCAAACGATGTATAAAAAGGACTCAGGTTGTTGTCATAACTAAGTTCTGTTTTTGAATAAAAGATATCGGAATATCACTTTACAATAATCGACGAAATTAATAATTAATTGAGTGAGTATTTAATTATAAGTATCTATTGATGTTCTTATCAACCTTGACATTAGAAACCTGGCAATGACTGTGTACGAAAATTCTGCCAAATCCACCGAGTCATTTATGCGTAAAGGGTTAATTGACCTAAAAAGTATCGCATTCATAGATTAAAAAGGAAAAAAGAGTTTCACACAATATATTTCTATCAATATATCAATAGTCACATCTAAAAATCTAACTGTTTCCGTATTATTCGTTTTATCCTATAATTTATAAATGCTGGCCGCCGCAGCTGTCTCCAAAGTATTCAGTTGTTACGCAATTTCAAAATCAGCAGACATCCGCATACGTATATATTTTAAGCTGGGAGAAATTTAATGTAATTTCGAAACACAAGGGACATTTACGATTGCCGGTTATTTGTGATGCCTCCGCTGACCCAGATCTGTACATTTGCATAGCTACTACTGGACTACTATTGCCCTATATTTAGGCGGGAATCCATTTGCGTTACGAAAGCTTGCATCTCTCTGGTCTATTGGAAACGAACACAGATCATATGCAGTTCTTGAACCTATCGTTGTCTGAACAGGAACTCAGTTCTATTTACGGTTAATTATGGTGTTTCAATATCATTACTTTTTAAAACTATTAGTAAACCATAAAGTAACAAAAATATGTATCACCATTGATTTAATAAAACCAATGTAACAAACCAATAATATGCATTTGATGGCAGGTAAACAGTATGATGTAAATTTATCTCACACAAGAATTATTCAAACTCAATTTAATTCCATTCAGTCCGTTAATTAAAACACTAATAAATTATGCTAGCTTTTTATATGTAATATGTAAATATTTTTTTTATTCTGCTCATATTTGTCCCTGTTGGGGTTCTTAACAATAATTAGTGGGACAGGTATATCCACGCTAATCAACAACAATATGATTCAATTAAAAATATAGCTTCAGACGCATCGTCGAACAAAGCAATGTCGCAACATTAGTACCTATAGGAAATCGTATTCGAGCTATCAGATATAGCAGCGCCTTAGAACTCTCCTTGTTAGAACTTGTGGTGTGGTGTGCCCCACTCGATCAAGGAAATCATCAAAAATAACATGACGTTGATTTACTGATTCTGGTATAAATTTATCATAATACCAGCGAACATTGAGCTGCAAGGTTGTTGGCCACTCACTTAGGTTTATCAGTATTAAGTCATAATTGAGTAACGCAGGATCCACGCGTCAGTGACCAGGGAGGACCTTCTCCATATCCAGATAACGATAATTCTCCTTGAGTTATGATTAATTTATTACGTAATTAGATCACATCGTGTGATGTGTACGTTCAATTAAACAAAACGCCTGTTTTGACGTAAAAAATGATAAATATTGGCTATTTTTTTTATATATTTCTACTACTACTACTAGCAATTAATTGAATTCAGAACTCGATTTACAACTGAAAACTGAACAAATGCTATTGTGATTAAAATACATCATCGAATACAGCGTTGTCCCACCGGTGAAGTCGGTTTATTTAATTGTATCTCTAAGCTGTGACTGAGCTGTGCTCAACGTTGCGTTCGACGCTGATCTTTATTACAGAATACCGAAGCAGATTATTCATGAATTTGTTGATATTACTTGCGTAGTGGTTTCATATTAACATTATTTGCTTTATGTTGATACTAACAACTCGTATTGCTTTAGTTAGTTGTAATTTATTTACATCTAGTAAGGCTCTTAGTCGGCTCATGATAGATTTTTCAAACATTTTCAATAATCATCGTCTACTTTAGCCAATATATCATCAATGTTCAGGGAATCTACCCAAATAAACGAAAGAATTGTTTTTTACAAATATCTAAACTTTCGATAAAGATAAAAATTTGTTCTAATTATTATATTTTATCACAAACTTTTCAGTATAGCATATACTGAAAAGTAAAGTTTGTGTCCCCTCTCAGAATGCGAGGGGCAGCATTTTTCATTAAGAATATCTTTCAATATCGCGAATGCAAAATTTATTATTTAGAAATGAAAATATGGTTAAGTTATTTGTGGCAGTGACAAAATATAAGCATTTGTTTTATTTAATGAGGAATTTTAAAAAAAAAACGAAAGCACCTCCACTAAATGGCGACTCTAGCAAAAGTTGATTTTTGCAGGAAACGAATGGACCAAAGACAATCATTTCCGTTCCTTTTAACTAATATATTAAAAAACTGAAATTTGAAAAGTTCGAAACTTAGATATCAATACAAATACGAAAAAGCACAAATAGAATATGAGTTGTTTATTGAGTTTTGAAAACTAATTTACTTTTAAACATGAAAGTAAACCGGAAAGATTATCATGGAGAAATCAAGAACTTACCGTGGCGACATCTAGTTTGATTTCCGGAACTAATGAAGTGAATTTAGTGACAAAATAGAAAAGTTCGTATTCTACATTGATCCGAACGGGAATCCAACCCGGCAGGTAAAATAGATGGCGAGACCTTGAAACCGAAGGTGCGAATTCGGCGACGATTTTTAAAAAAGACATAAAATGTTAATTTACAACAAACCAAAATAATTGATCCAATAGACTTCATCTATACTAATATTATAAAGAGGGCAGATTCGATTGTTTGTGTGTTTGTTTGCATCGAATAGATTTTAACTGGATTAATTTTAAGAATTATTTCACCTATGGGTAGCTACATCATAAAGGTAGCTAGTAATACATGAAAATCCTTCAAATAATTTATCAAACTTCACAATTTGAATATAATAGAAATAATAAAAATACAAACAAATGCACGTTTTATTTTTATTACTTAAAGAAAGTCGTATTGGCGATTCATATTTGGGGTAGATATCTTGCAAACTACCTGGACATTGTGAATATGTCCTATTTAATTCAAAGTCAGAACAACATGCACATCTGAAATAGAACATGCGCCATGCGGAAACGCACAGATGCACGAATCGGTGCGTAAGCAGTTAATTTAGAGCTTATAGTTAACATACCACGCTGTTTAAATAATGCATAACAATGCATTTACGAACATTAATATCTAATTATTTAAAACTAACTAATTATTTAAAATAATTATTTTATTTCCTGAAACACTACATACTTTGCTCTCGTCTGTGGCATTTATCTAAACTCTTTCAACAAATAAAAGAACAACGCATCGTCAAGGAAATGCAGCTGTTGCGACGAATAGTTACGGACACATTGCGGTTCCGTATTAGTCGTAATGACACGTTGGCAGAATAATTACCTCGTACGTTGCGATTCTCTCGCTCGTGGAGACAGCGCCTTAGCCATTGGGATAAATAAGCTTAATCTACTATTAGTAGCCTATAAATTAATAATAATTTA